ACCATGACTTCAAGTTCAATGTTTCAAAAAACTCTCACAAAAATTATTTTTTTCATGTTTTCAGTGTTGAGTAGTTTAATATGCTAGAGAGACAAGTTCCAAAAATTCTTGAAATTGAAGTAAAGATAATAGAAACATTTAATTAATGGAAGTCTCTCATTTCAAGCCATTACTAACTTTCACACAGAGAAACTTTCAAAGTTTTTCAAGTTAAAACATTTGAAAAGACTCCCATTAAAAATGAATTAACTAACTGGGCTCGGTGGCTCAGCCTGTAATCCCAGCACTTTGAGAAGCTGAGGCCAGTGAATTGCCTGAGCCCTTGGGTTCAAGATATGCCCCACTCCGCCCCCAGGCAACTTGGCGAGACCTCATCTCTACAATAAATCAAAAATTAGCCAGGCGTGATAGTGCCGGGACTACAGGCTGAGCCACCGAGCCCGGCCCCATTATCTTAAACAAGGAGATGTGTGTGCGTGCATGGGTGTTTGTGAGTGTGTGTGTGTGTGTGCATGCGTGTGTGAGAGCATATGACTGCTTTGGACCACTACTGAAACCTATTGGACCCTTCCAAATAAAAATATTTGTTAATACATAAAATAAAATGCAAAGTATTACAATGAAAACCAATTATATTGGAATGCAACTATCAAAATACCAAAGTATATATTTTAAAAGCATGTGGTAAATAATAAGCATCTTCATTAACTCATTAAATAATATTACTGAGCAGCAGATTTAATAACTGAGACAATTACCAAGTAGCAATAAGCATAAATGATATTGAGGTTATCTACAATAACTCTTTCTCTCTCTTTCTACCTCAGATATACTATATTTGAGCTGGGTCTCACTCTGTTGTTCAGGCTGGAGTGCAATGACACGAACACATCTCACTACAGCTTCAAATTCCTGGGCTCAAGCCATTCTCCCACCTCAGCCTCCCAAGTAGCTGGTACTACAGGCAAGCACCATCATGTCCAGTTAATTTTTGATTTTTAAAATATTGTTGGTAGAGACAGGGTCTCGCTATATTGCCTAGGCTGGTCTTGAACTCCTGGCCTCAAGTGATCTTCCAGCCTTGGTCTCCCAAAGTGCTGGGATTTCAGGCATGAGTCACCACACCTGACTCAGATTAACTATAATGTGATCTGGAAAGTCACAGGCACTACTCATGTTACTCTAATTTGTTGATTACTTTCACAATTAGAGAAAATGTCCTTTTTAATTTAAGAGATTGGAAAAAATAAAGTTGTAATTTTTTCCAACCAAGTTCGTGAGCTTTTTGAATTCTGTCCTCTTGGTTACAACACTCAGAAAACCTAGAGGTCAAATTTGTTCATCACAGGTGCATAATTAATTAACCAAAGAACCACTTTCCCTCATTACCAGGCTATAAACAACATCTACAAAAACAAAAAGCCCACTGACTGCTTCTTTTTGTTATATAATGAGCGCTCTCACTGAAAATTCATTTCCATTCCTTGTGTAAGGGCTGTCAAATATTATAATGCAGCAGAGACACTGAGTGTATGATAGAAATAAAGTAGGTGCTTTGTAGGATTTATTAAAAACCAAAAATGAAAAGTCCTTGAAACACCGATAAAATGTTCTTTTTTTTTTTTTGAGTTGGAGTCTCACTCTGTTGCCCAGACTGGAGTGCAGTGGCCGCTCCCGGCCACCGCAGCCTCGACCTGCTGGACTCCGGCGATCCTTCCGCCTCAGCCTTCCAGTAGCTGGAACTACAGGCATGCACTACCACACTCGGCTAGTTTTTGATTTATTGTAGAGATGAGGTCTCATCAAGTTGCCCAGGCGGGTCTCGAACCCGCGGGCTCAGGCAATCCACTCACCTCAGCCTCCCAGGGCATGGGATTACAGGCTGAGCCACCGAGCCTGGCTGAAACATTCTGTCTTAAAGCATTATGTCTATTTATTCCTGTCACTAATGTTTTAAACCAAAGTTATGTTTTTATACAGAGTTTTCATGTTTGCATTTTCTTACTTTAATGTAACAGTATGATGTATGAATTGACTGATGACTCTTTTTCAGTACTGTGAATGGAATTCAATAAGTAAGAACACCACATGTGTAGGTGAACAGCTAAGTCCCTCAGCCACAGAGGCTTCACTTCCTCAAACAGGCGACAAGTGTCAGATGATTGCGGCTTCACTTCCTGAAAGGGACTACAAGTGTCAAGTGAGTGGTCATTAAATGCAGCCACTGTCTAAGAGTTAAGGTGAAATCACAGACTACTACACCCTCAAGGAACTAGAAGTCGCTTTGTCTAAGCCCTCGCTTTGCAAGTGAGGAACCAGAGACAGTAAGAAGTTAGGGGACTTGCTCTGGATGCAGTATGACTTGGGGAAGCATGAAGCAGGTCTAATGGCTATTATAACAGTCTCCACCACTCCACAAGAGCACATCCTGTTCCAGCGTCTGCTTCTATCCAAGCACAGCTATTGAAACAAGGGGTTACTGTCAACAAAAATACATCTGATTTACAGATTTTTGCTTCCAAAAATGCCAAGTTGAAAGACTTAAATAGTTGATCACATCTCTAGAACAGAGGCCTCAAAAGAATGTTTAAAAATGCTTTGAATAGTTTTCAGTTTAATTTATTGCCTGAGTCCAGAGGTTCGAGACCAGCCTGGGAAACTTGGTGAGATCTCGTCTCTACAATCAAAAAAAAATTTTAAAAATTAGCTGGGCGTGGTGGTGCACGTCTGTGGTTCCAGTTACTTCGAAGGGTGAGGCAGAAGGATCACCTGAACCCAGCAGGTCAAGGCTGCGGTGGCTTGAGCAAGCCACTGCACTCCAGTCTGGGCGACAGAGTGAGACTCCTACTCTCAAAAAAAAAAAGAAAGAAAAAGAAAATCCAATACAACTATCTCTTATTTTATTTTAATTTTTAAAAGGCCCTTTTCCTGATTATAAAATGAATAAATGTGTCCCTTAGAACCAGAACAAATGAAGAATAAAACAAGTAGTTACATCCCAAGAGTTAAAGATAATACTGATAATATTTTCACCCATTCCTTCTAGATATATATGTTTATGAATATATGATATACACCTAAACTTCCATATTAAGATAATATTGTATAGAAAATTTTATATCCTGCCTTTTCTGTTAGCATTATGCCAGAGTATTTTCTTCAGTGAAATAAAATCATTTCCAAAACATCAATAACGTGAAAGTCTGTATTTCAGGGTTACTGAAGTAAAGAATTTAAAGGCCTTAAAATCTATAAAGCTATCTCATTATAAAATTTCTGATCGCCGGGCTCGGTGGCTCAGCCTGTAATCCCGCGCCTTTGGGAGGCTGGGGTGAGTGGATTGCCTGAGCCCGCGGGTTCGAGACAGGTTCTGGGCAGCGAGACCTCATCTCTACAATAAATCAAGAAATCAGCCGGGCGTGGTAGCGCATGCCTGTAATTCCGGCTACTTGGAAGGCTGAGGCGGAAGGATCGCCGGAGCCCAGCGGGTCGAGGCTGCGGTGGCCGGGAGCGGCCACTGCACTCTGGTCTGGGTGACAGAGTGAGACTCCAACTCAAAAAAAAAAAAAAAAATTTCTGATCACTGAATTTTTAGGCTATCAGTGGATCATGTAACTCTAATGCATTAAAGTGCTCCAAATCAAAAATACTAAAAATTATGTTTACAAGATAGTCTTTGGAAAGATTTAAAGGCAAATAACTAAAATCACTGGGGAAAATACAAAATATTTCAGAAAAGTAGAGAAATGAAAACTCAGAAAGATACCACATGCCACTATTAAATTCAGAAGATTCAAAAATGTATCATAAGAATAGATTTTGGCAGCATTCTGTAAAGTCATGATGGAAAAAGTGCTTTTACAGGAAAGTAGCAATTGATGCAGACAGTACCTGGCACACCACAGAAGTTCAAGAAATATTAATTGAGTGAATAAATGGGAATCAATTTGCTTACATGTAGCAAGACATCTGAATATGGCTATACCCCTTGACCTATATCTCTTTTAAGGGAACACATACAATATACAATACATACACTTAGGAAGTCACTGCAATTTTCTTGAAAGGGAAAATTTGGTCACAACTAAATGTCTAAGATGTGGATGATGGTTAAGTAAATGTAGTTCTACAGAGACACGGACACAATTTTCACATTAATTTAAGAACTACACTAAAATTATAAAAGTTTTGCCTGTATTTCTTAGCTTAAAATGATTGAATATTTAAAATATCGGTGTACTCACTCTTCTTGATATAAGACTTTATTTCATTCTTTTAATGAAATACAGATTAAGCATCTCACATCTGAAAATTCAAATGCAAAATGCTCCAAAATTCAAAACTTTTGAGCACTGCCATGATGATGAAGTACTTAACACAAACTTTGTTTTATGCAAAAAATTATTTAAAATATTGTATAAAATTACCTTCAGGTAAGCCATATAAGATATATATACATAAAAAACATAAATGAATTTCATGCTTAGACTTGTATCCCATCCTCAAGATATCTCATTACGTATATGCAAATATTCCAATACCTAAAGAAATCTGAAATCCACAACACTTCTGTTCCCAAACATTTCAAATAAGGAATACTCAAACTGCAACTGTTAAAGTTAAAGAAAACCAATATATTTGGAAAAAAGTTGAGAAGACCAAGTGAATGATCGATTATCTCCCTTCCAAATTAGATTCTTACAGTCAGTCTGTAAAGTATTACTCATCTGTTTGTCTTTATGTACCACAGAAGATAGGGTCGGGGTTTCCTTTGATAGTCATGCCAATGGTGAGAGAAACAGTCATGGCTTTCTTTTTTCCCAGTTCCAGAATTTGATAACCATGGTTTCCTCTTAGTTTTAGCCAAGGCCCAGTATTTAAAAATAAAAATATACTAAAATGATCCCTCTTCTTCTCTTCCTTATGCACATGTGTGCGTGCACGCACACACACACAAGTTGGAGTGGTAACCCTATAACAAATAACAGAAGTCACAGTACCTTTATAAGCTCTGATGGCTCACTGTCTTCTTCCACCACAATCAGTTGTGATCTTCCCTTCCTTTCGTTGTCCCGAATGCCAATGGCTACTTGGCTCGCCTTCAGACGTTCATATTTGTTGCATGAGGAACCACACCACTGATAAATTTCCTAAAAGAAAGAGACAGATTTTTTGACACCAAGAATATGTGGAGGGTATTCAGCCTTGGTGTAATACTCATTGTGATTAATTAGGGAAAAAAAGATATTTAAAAAAATTAAAATGATCTATTGTTGTGTATATGATTGTATATATTTAAATTATACCTCATTCTTCATCCTGCTGTTTTCTGTTATTATAAAGTAAGCATTTTTCAAACATGGAAAATATAAATACATATCTCACCATTCTCTGTGTCTACAATCCACTAATTACAATTTATGAAAGTAAACTTATATGGATTATTTAAGTTTAAAATAATAATCTATCATTTCAGAAAGCTAGTCACGAATGTTATAGGAATGTATCATGCTTGATGGTCACAAAAATTGATATAACACTTTTGTGAAGTTACTTTTTTAAACTGGCAAAAACAAATTAATTGTATATATTTCTTGTGTATAACATGATGTTTTGAGCTACATATACATTATGGAATAACTAAATCAAAATAATTAATATATGAAGAGCAGTTTATAATTCTTATCAAGAGCTATAAAGAGAGTTAAAACCTTTGATCCAGCAATATCACTGTCTGGAATTTACTGTAGTAAACTATAAAGAGAAGGAAAAAACCACATGTGTAAGCATTTTCATTACTATGTGATATTATTGTTAGTGAGGCAGTGGAAAGATATTAAATTGTTCAAAAATAGGATAACAGACTTTTTATGAAGGCATTTTGGTATCATTTTTAAAAATTAAATATGCCTTTAATGTCAGGAAAGTCCATTTCTAGGAATCTATACTACTGAAATATTTAAATGTGGAATATATAAAAGCAAAATAAACAAAACAATTCAAATGCCCATCAATAAGGGGATGGCTATATGTGTCCTTACTGTATACTCCTCTTCAGTGATTAAACGTTGAAAAGAATGCTTAAACATTGGCATAGAAAATTACTGGAGGCATATCATTAAGAATACAATCAAGATATAGAATAATATACTTACAATGAAGTAGAAATAAGAACATAAGCTCTGTATCTGTGTTTACAGAAAAAAGATATTTAAATAAACAGTTTTGATAGATTCAGAGGGTATATATATGCAGAAATGTTTTTAATGTTTACTGCATCTAGGTCGGTGTATTTTTCCTATCGTTTTTATGTCATATACATTTATGAGGTGCCTATTATGCTGGGAATACAGAGGTGAGTAAGAAAACTAGCAAGGAGAGATTGTCAGGTAGAAAATTTTGAACCACACTTGGTTTTCAGAACATGTTTTCACACACATCTCACCTATTCAACCATGAACAAGTGGTCAGCACAGTGGTTAAGTGAGAGGGGCATAGACTGCAGTGGCCACTTTCTGGGTATTTGACCACATGTTTAAAATGTTTAGAAAAGGTAAATAAATTAGTAACTGCACAATAAAACATCCAGAAAAATGGATTCTTTTCTCTGAATACGAGACATTTCTTCATTAAAAAACTAGTGTACTGAGTGCCTAGAATAGGGCAGGCTTTCTTGTGGGTGCTGGAGCATCACTCTGAACAAAGTAGGCTTACAACAGTCACTCTGACCTCCACCTCACCACGGTCACAAGGACCTCATCCATTGTCCTCCTTAAGAATAAAGCACACATTTTAGGAATTCAAACCTTCCTAAGAAATAAAAGAGACCATGACTTGCGATCCCTTTCACTCAAGAATCTTGTGTTGTTACTTAATGTGGTCAAAGAGTATTTCTTTTCTATTCCTATGATCACAGTGCACCATTGTTCCTCTCTGACCTCTTCTGCATCTGGGCAATTGGAATATGAGACTCACATGTGGAGATTATCTAAAAATCATGCCAAGGTTAGTAGTGACAAAGAGTGAAAGCCAATGGTTCCCAGAAAACAGTCAGCTCAGTCATGGAGCATTAAAATCAGTTAGTGGAGGAGGAAGGTGATTTTTAAAAATACAGAATTGTGAGTCCTACCCTTTCAGGACTTCCAGGTGTGTTCTGGGCAGCTGTGTTTACCGAACACTCCCCTGGATATTCTTCCACTCACCCAATGCATGCCAGGTGGGATATACTTTTAGTACAACCCACCTGGTATGCACAGAGGGCATCTACCATCTGATCATCCAGGGCAGTGCAGCAGACTACTCTGCTAAGTACAGACTAGGGTCATCTAAGCTCAGAGCCCTCCCATACCTTATTCCGTGACACTTTGCAAATGATTCCTTTCCGGCAGGTCTGAGAAAGCAAACTTCTAAGAATTATATTTTACATAGTAGTGAAATATAGGAAGTAGATCAAAGTTAGGGTTGTAGAATTTTTCAGAATTATTAACAATGCTCACGACTGACTTATTCTGTGTTTATATCATCATTTAACAGGTATTTATGCCCTCATTACCTTAGTTGTATAAATGATCTCTCATCTACTTCAAAGAGATTATATAAAATCCCTCTAAATTTTATTAGCATCTGTGAAACATCATGGGAGCGTGGTAAAATGTGTTTTAAGGAGTATTTAAAGATGATAATTTCATAAACATAATTATAATTTAACATAGAATTCTGCAATATTTTATGGATCCCAGGATGTTTTCTAAGACATTATGTTGGATTGTGTAAATTTAATTGTTGAAGATATTTCTCATCATTGCTTAGAGACCACAGTTTCTACCTTTAAAATAGTAAAAACATACCTAGGAAATACTCATAAAGATAGTAACATTTTAAAAAGTAAACATTTACTTTTAACTCAGCAATGACTCAATTACTAAGGAAGGTGTTACAGAAAACTTATTCAGCATTGGAATGTATGACTTGTGTTCTGCTTACTCTATTCTTCTCATTGTATATTGTGCCACCATTAATATATGAGTGCCATATTATCCTATTTATAGACTTTTCAATGGTCAATTCAGATAAGAAATGTAAAAAACAATGGCTTTCATTGTAACTTGCTTAAAACATTGTTTAAGCCATGCACAGTGGCTCACGCCTATAATCCCAGCACTTTGGGAGGCAAAGGTGAGGATTGCCAAACCCAAGGTTCGAGACCAGCCTGGGAAACTTGGTGAGACCTCACCTCTACAATAAATTGAAAAAAAAAAAATTAGTCAGGTATGGTGATGCGTGTCTGTATTTTCAGCTATTTGAAAGGCTGAGGTGGAAGGATCACCTGAGCCCAGCAGGTCGAGGCTGCGGTGTCTGTGAGCGTGCCACTGCACTCCAGCCTGGGCAACAGAGTGAGAGTCCAACTCAAAAAAAAAAATTGTTTAAGACGGGCATGGTGGCTCACGTCTGTAATCTCAGCAATTTGGGAGGCCAAGGCAAGAGGATTGCCTGAGCCCAGGGGTTCAAGGCCAACCTGGGCAATATGGCAGGACCTCATCTCTACAATAAATCAAATAATTAGCCAGGCATGGTGGCATGCACCTGTGGTTCCAGCTACTTGGAAGGCTGAGGCAGAAAGATTGCCTGAGCCCAGCAAGTCCAAGCTGCGGTGGCTGTGAGTGAGCCACTGCACCTGAGCCTGGAAGACAGAGTGAGAATGTGACTCAAAAAAATTTTTGTTTAAAAAGCAATTACTAATTGAAACATTGTTATTCAGTCTAATTAAATATTCACTCAGTGATGGCAGCAGCACATTAAAACTTGCTTTACAAGTTTAAACAGGATTGGGCACAGTGGCTCACGCCTCCAATCCCAAAACTTTGGGAGTCCGAGGAGGGAGGATTGCTTGAGTCCATGCGTTCGAGGCCAGCCTAGGCAATATCGTGAAGACCTTGTCTCTACAAAAATATCAAAAAATTAGTCAGGTGTGGTGGCATGCCTTTATAGTCTCAGCTACTTGGGAGGCAGAGGTGAAAGGATGGCCTGAGCCCAGAAGGTGGAGGCTACAGTGAGCTATGATTGTGCCACTACACTCCAGACTGGGCAACAGAGTGAGATTCCAACTCAAAGAAAAAAAAAATTAAACAGAATTTTAGTAATTCTAAATTTGAAAACTTACACTCCATCATGTATGGACAATGTATTTAGAACATCTCATTTTAACAGAGCTCTACTGTGCTGAAATAAGCGTGTGTGGAACTATTAATAAATTGTACCGCCCAGCACTTACTCTCTTCACAGGATGATGGTTAAGACTACTTCACCACCCGGCGCACAGAGAGACTTTGTATTCAGTTGGCACCACGCTTGAAAAAACTCTTCTATAATTCAACTTACCCTGTTTTCTAGAGAGAACAGGCTTTAAAAATGAAATCCTGCACAGAGCTAAAAAAATGTGTGAATTGATATGATAGGTTAATATGTATTATTACAACAAAAGCTTTCACTGCTATCTAAATTATTTCAGTTCTAATACTTGAAGGGGATTTAAACTTTCAAAATTTTCATCAATTTGATTTACGTGCACAAGACACTTAAAATTGTAAAGTAAACACAGTTTCAGAGGCAAGCATTTTACCCTCCAAGATCCTAAGGCATTTAACACCTCAACACTTAAATGTCATCTTTCTTTAGGGAAGGGATATAAAACTCCTGGTAAATATTAAAGTATCCATTCAATTTGTAATAAAATCCACTTAAATTCTGGCAGAAAGCTGTTGCTGTAATATTGCCCACGAGCATCCTCCAGTAGATGTTTGTGGAACAATAATTAATGCTTAACATACAACCTATTGAAGGAAAACAAAATTAGTCCGCGCAATTGGAAAAGAAAGAAATAAGGGAATCAAGACCATCTGTCACTGGCAATTAGTCTGGTCCACTAGTAATGAGAAATAAAAGCAAACGGGTAATATTTATAGAAACGACCATATTTGGGGAGGGAAGATCTATTACTAGTCTTGAAAACCAGAAGTTTCTAAAATTTCTTTAAATGATGTGGTCAGAGTTAATAAGTGCAGTCAAACATCATTTGGGGACAGGAAATAAGAGCAAAACTAAAACAATGCTCAATGGTGCCACTGAAAGGAAGCAGGATTTCAGAGCCTGT